GAATTCTACCAAACTTTCAGAGAAGAGCTAACACCACTACTACTAAAGGTATTTCAGAGCACAGAAAAGGATGGAAAACTCCCAAACTCATTCTATGAAGCCAGCATAACCCTAATACCAACCAGGTGAAGACCACAAAAAAAAGAAAATTACAGACCAGTATCACTCATGAACATAGACGCAAAAATCCTCAATGAAATTCTAGCCAATAGAATTCAACATGATCAAAAACAGAATTCACCATGATCAAGTGGAATTCATACCAGGTATGCAGGGATGGTTCAACATTAGAAAAACAATCAATGGAATCCATCACGTCAATAAAACTAAAGACAAGAACCACATGATCTTATCAATTGATGCAGAACATACATCAGACAAAGTCCAGCACCCATTCATGATAAAAACTCTCAGCTATATAGGAATAGAAGGGAAATTCCTCAGCAGAATTAAGGGCATTTATACAAAGCCAACAGCCAACATCATCCTAAATGGAGAGAGTCTGAAAGCATTCCCCCTGAGAACGGGAACCAGACAAGGATGCCCTTTATCACCACTCTTATTCAACATTGTGCTGGAGGTCCCAGCCAGAGCAATTAGGTTAGAAAAAGAAATAAAGGACATCCAGATTGGTAAGGGAGAAGTAAAAGTATCTCTATTCATGGTCGATATGATCTTATACACAAAAAACCCCAAAAACTCCACAAGAAAACTACTAGAACTGATAGAAGATTTCAGCCAAGTATCAGAATACAAGATAAAACATACAAAAATCAGTTGCATTCCTATACACCAACAAAGAGAACTTTGAAGAGGAAATCACCAAATCAATACCATTTACAACAGCCCCAAGAAGATAAAATACTTAGGAATAAATCTAACCAGAGACGTAAAAGACTTATACAAAGAAAACTACAAGACACTACTGCAAGAAACCAAGAGAGACCTACAGAAGTGGAAAAACATACCTTGCTCATGGATAGGAAGACTCAACATTGTGAAAATGTCTATTCTGCCCAAAGCGATCTACAGATACAGTGCAATCCCGATCCAAATTCCGATGGCATTTTTTAGTGAGAGAGAGAAACAAATCACCAACTTCATCTGGAAAGGGAAGAGGCCCCAGATAAGCAAAGCATTACAGAAGAAGAACAAAATGGGAGACCTTACACTACCTGATTTTAGAACCTATTATACTGCCACGGTAGACAAAACCTGCTTACTACTACAACAACAGATACATAGACCAATGTAACAGAATTGAGAATCCAGGCATAAATTCATCCACCTATAAGCAGCTGATATTTGACAAAGGCCCAAAGTCCATTAATTGGGGAAAAGACAGTCTCTTTAACAAATTGTGCTAGCGTAACTGGATAGTCATCTGCAAAAAAATGAAACAAGACCCATACCTCACACCATGCACAAAAACGAACTCAAAATGGATCAAAGACCTAAATCTAAAATGATAAAGATTATGGAAGAAAAAATAGAGACAACGCTAGGAGCCCTAATACATGGCATAAACAGAATACAAAACATTACTGACGATGTACAAACACCAGAAGAGAAATTAGATAACTGGGAGCTCCTAAAAATCAAACACCTATGCTCATCAAGAGACTTCACCAAAAGAGTCAAAAGACAACCTACAGACTGGGAATTTTTGGCTACAACAGATCTGATCAGCATCTAATCTCTACAAGATACTGCAAAACGTCAACAACAAAGAGGCAAATAACCCAATTAAAAAATGGGCAAAGGATATGAACAGTCACTTCACCAAAAAAGACATTCAGGCAGCTAACAGAAAAATGAGGAAATGCTCTCGATCACTATCGATTAGAGAAATGCAAATCTAAAGTACAATGAGATACCATCTCACCCCAACAAGGCTAGCATTAATCTAAAACACGCAAAATAATAAATGTTGACGAGGTTTGGAGAGACTGGAACACTTATGCACTGCTGGTGGGAATGTAAAATGGTACAACCACTTTAGAAATCCCTTTGGCACTTCCTTAAAAAGCCAGAAATAGAAGTACCATACGATCCAGCAATCTCACGCCTTGGAATATATCCTAGAGAAATAAGAGCCATCACACAAATAGATACATGCAGACCCATGTTCACTGCAGCAGTGTTCACAATAGCAAAAAGATGGAAATAACGTAGGTGCATATCAACAGACGAATGGATAAACAAATTATGGTACATTCACAAAATGGAATACTACAAAACGATAGATGAATCTGTGAAACATCTCATAACATGGATGAATATGGAAGGCAGTATGCTGAGTGAAATTAGTCACAAAAGGACAAATATTGTATGCAGACCACTATTACAAGAACTCAATAAAAGGTTTAAACACAGAAGAAAACATTCTTTGATGGTTATGAGGGTGGGGAGTATTTACTAACTAGATAGTAGGTAAGAATTGTCTTAGGTGAAGCGAAGGACAACACACAATATAGGGGAAGTCAGCACAACTGGACTAAACCAAAAGCTAAGAAGTTTCCTGAATACAATCAAACACTTCAAGGGACAGACTAGCAGGGGTAGGGGTCTGGGGACCCATGGTTTCAGGGGACATCTAGGTCACTGGCATAACAAGGTTTATTAAGAAAATGTTCTGCATCCCATTTTGGTGAGTGGCGTCTGGGGTCTTAAAAGCTATCGAGCGGCCATCTAAGATGCATCAATTGGTCCCAACCCACCTGGAGCAAAGGAGAATGAAGAACACCAAAGACACAGGGAAAATATTAGCCCAACAGACAGAAAGGGCCACATAAACCAGAGACTCCACCAGCCTGAGACCAGAAGAACAAGATGGCGCCCAGCTACCACCAATGACCACCCTGAAAGAGAGTCCCTCACAGAGCAGGAGAAAAGTGGGGTGCAGAACTCAAATTCTAGTAAAAAGACCAGACTTAATTGTCTGGCTGAGACTGGAGGGACCCTGTAGACATGGCCCCCGAACTCTCTGTTAGCCCAGAAATGAAACCATTCCTGAAGCCAACTCTTCAGACATAGATTAGACTGGACTATAAGACATAAAATGATAAACTCGTGAAGAGAATGCTTCTTAGCTCAAGCAGATACACGATACTAAATGGGCAGCTCCTGTCTGGAGGCGAGATGAGAAGGCAGAAAGGGACAGGAGCTGGCTGAATGGACATGGGAAATCAGGGGTGGAAAGGAGGAGTGTGCTGTCGCATTATAGGGTGAACAACTAGGGTCACATAACAATGTGTGTATAAATTTTTTTATAAGAAACTAAACTGAAATCTCAACTTTCACTTAAAGCACTATTTTAAAAAAAGATTATATACAAAAATTAATTATAGGTAAAATTAGCTATAGTATAAAAAAAAACAAACCAAACCCATTGCCATCAAGCTGATTCAGACTCATAGCAACCCTACAGGACAGAAAAGAATTGCCATATAGGGTTTCCAAGGAGTGGCTGGTGGATTAAAACTGCTGACCTTTTGGTTAGCAGCCAAACTCTTTACCACTGTAGCACCAGGGCTCCAGCTATAGTATAGCAAAGTTAAATTATTTAAAACTTCTTGGTCTCCAATCATCAAACAAAAAAGGAAATTTCAAATATGTATTTCTTAAAATACACAAAATTACACTTTATTCCTTACCAGCACAACATCTTTCTTGTTAATTAGCTACAGACAGTTTGCTACTTTTTCCCTGTAACATTTCTAACAGTTATCTTTTGGGCTTGTTTGTTGCTAATGTTACATTGGCAAGAACACTTCTCACTAATTTAAGACAGTATCACTTACTTTGCAGTAGTTCATTTAGAACCACAAGTAACACATACGGGGGATAAATTTTAAAAACCCTAACTTATTTTTAAAATTACTGATCCTTTGTTGGAAACCCTGGTGGCATAGTGTTTAAGAGCTATGGTTGTAACCAAAAGGTTGGCAGTTCGAATCCACCAGGTGCTCCTTGGAAACCCTATGGGGCAGTGCTACTCTGTCCTATAGGGTTGCTATGAGTCAGAATCGACTCGACAGCAATGGGTTTGGTGTTTTTTGGTTTTGATCCTTTGTTATTAAAAAAAACAAAAAATATCAAGATTCTCAAATACTTTTATATACACCTTCATGTTTGTTTTTAAGAAACCATAAGGATAATCCAATGATCACTTTTCATCTTTTAAAAAAAAATATTAAGAGATATATTTTTAATACCGATTGGAATCCACCGAATTAAAGCCATGATAGCAATGCACATAGGTATCTATTTTCTCAGTTAATATTTAATGAACTATATTCAACATAACTAAATTCAGAGGACATTTTTACTTATGGAAGAAAATACTCTCTCAATTATTCATATTAAAACTGCACATTAGATTCATAAAAAATTATAAATAACACATTTTCAAAAGCATCAGCTACTATGTCTCAAGTTAACATACAATGAGTACTAAACTTACTTTATAATTGTCTTCTACTTCAGCTAGTTCTAGTTTAACACTTTCAGCAATTTTCACTTGTTCTTTCCATTTCAGCTCCATTTTTGCAAGTTCATCAGCATATTTATTGCATTTTGTTTTCTCATCCTAAATGAAATTTGTATAATTACTCAAAAAAAATTTAAATCTCATATAGCAAACATTTCCACAAACATACTGATACATGCTGAAGGTTTATTATAACACTATTGTAACAGTATAAAAATTGAAATAACCAACTGGATAAATGATTTTATATTCACAAAATACAATATATATTTAAAAGAAGGAAGTAAATTGACAAGGAAAACTGTCAAGATACATTAATTGAAAATTCCAAATTGCAAAAAAAGAATATATAGTATAACCCCATTTTTGTGTTAAAAGCTGTTTTAGACAATTATATAAGGTGTCTATGTCAGTGTTCTGCAGAAGCGGCTTATCCCTGGTGATTAGGATTATGGGTGCATCTTTTACCATCTCTGTTCTTTATTTCAAAATGCCACAATGTTCTACAATAATTACATATACTTATGCAAATAAAAATTATGTATTTATAATGCTGCTGTTCCCAGGCATTGATTAAAAAAATACTCTGGGATGTCCTGACCAAGACAATCTCTAGTTTGATTTCTTACACACTGCTCTTCTCTACAACCCAAAAAGTCAAAGGGAAAGAGTTACAAATCATGCAAATAAGTAGGCTAATTTCATTTTTAAATATTTTTGTTCAAGGTGAAAGTCTGTTCAGAAGAGAAAGTTTTCAAGAAATAATGCCGCATCAACTGAATATATATACCATACCTCAAACTATACACAAAAATTACCTCAAAATGGCTCCTAGACCTAAATGTAAAACTTAAGACCTAAACGTAAAACTTCCAGAGTATCGGAGAAAATCTTTACAATTTTGGATTAGACAAAGGTTTTTTAGAACAGAAAAAGCACAAAACATAAAAGAACAAATTGATAAACTACTTCATCAAAATTAAAAACTTTTGCTCTTCAAAAAACACCATTAAGAAAATGAAAAAGCAAGCCACAGACTGAGAGAAAATATTCAACATGCTTCTATCCAAGAACTTTCGTCCAGAATAAAGAACTCTCACAACTCAATAAGACAACAAACAACCCAATTTAAAAAGGGGGAAAAAGATCTAAACAGACACTTCACCAAAAAACGTATAAGCATGGCCAGTAAGCATATGAAAAAGTCATTATTAATATTCATTAGGAATCTGCAAATTAAACCATAATAAGATATCACTGCACACTCATTAGATTGGTTACAATTAAAAAGATTAACCATACACTGCTGGTGAGACTGTAACATGGTACCACCACCCTAGAAAAACAGTTTGGTAGTTTCTTACAAACATTCACCTACCATATTATCTGCTCATTTCATTCCTAGGTATTTATCCAAGAGAAACAAAAAACCATACCCACAGAAGACTTGAATATGAACGTTCACAGCAGCTTGATTTTTATTTGTAACAGCCAAAAACTCAAAACAACTCAAATGTCCACCAACTGGTGAAAGGATAAGCAAATTATGGAATATCCACACAATGGACTACTACTTCAGAAATAAAAAGGAATGAACTACCGATATAAGCAACAACGTGGATGAATCTCAAAACAATTACATTGAAAGAGGACAAGAAAAAAAGAGTACATACTGTACTGCTTCTATTTATATAAAATTATACAAAGGTGACAGAAAATAGGTCAACGGTTACATGGTGAGAGGGACAGAGGGAGGGATGAATTACGAATGGTCACAAAAAACTTTTGGGGATGATGAAAATGTTCATTACCTAGATATTGCAGTGATAGTTTCATGACTGTATATATGTCAAAACTGATCAAACTGTACACTTTAAATAAGTTCAGTTTATTGAATTTCAATCATACCTTGATATAGTTTTTAAAAACAAAATGCTCCTTGAGGAGCTTTTTTGCTTGAAGGAACATTTTATTTTCATTTAAATCATATTAGTAGATAATGAGACTTTTAAAATACTCATCGAGAACCGATTCATCCCTAATGAAGTAGTTAAGTAGTTTAGTCCCTTATAAACAACTACTTTGAACTCAAGGTTAAAACCGTTACAATCAATCTTTTTACAGAAGAATCCTCTCAAGATGTAAAAGCATTCTTTTTAAAGCTTGACTTAAGAATTATATTAATATCATGTAGAAGGGAGTGCACAAAAGATTTTAAAGTAACTACTATAGTAACTTGGAATATGCAAAGGCATTCGACTGCGTGGATCATAACCAATTATGGATAACATTGCAAAGAATGGGAATTCCAGAACACTTAATTGTGCTCATGAGGAATCTGTACATAGATCAAGATGCAGTTGTCCAAACAGAACAAGGGGATACTGCGTGGTTTAAAGTCAGGAAAGGTGTGCGTCAGGGTTGTTTCCTTTCACCACACCTATTCAACCTGTATGCTGAGCAAATAATCCGAGAAGCTGGAATATATGAAGAAGAACAGGGCATCAGGATTTGAGGAAGACTCATTAACAACCTTCATTAAGAAGATGATACAACCTTGCTTACTGAAAAGTGATAAGGTCCTAAAACACTTACTTAGGAAGATCAAAGGCTACAGCCTTCAGTATGGATTACCCCTCAACATAAAGAAAACAAAAAAAAACTGGAGCAATAAGCAACATCATGATAAATGGAGAAAACACTGACGTTATCAAGGATTTCATTTTACTTGGATCCACAATTAACATCCATGGAAGGAGCATCAAGAAATCAAAAGATGCACTGCACTGGGCAAATCAGCTGCAAAAGACCTCCTTAAAGTGTTAAAAAGCAAAGATGTCACCTTGAAGAATAAGGTGTGCCTAACCCAAGCCATAGTGTTTTCAATCACCTCATATGCATGTGGAAGTTGGATGATGAATAAGAAGACTGAAGAAGAACTGACACCTTTGAATTGTGGCGTTGGTGAAGAATATTGAATATACCATGGACTGCCAAAAGAATCTTGAAACAAGTACAACCTGAATGCTCCTAAAAAGCAAGGATGGCGAGACTACGTCTCACATACTTTGGATATGTTATCAGGAGGGATCAGTCCCTGGGGAAGGACATCATGCTTAGTAAAGTAGAGGGTCAGTGAAAAAGAGGAAGACTCTCAGTGAGATGGATTGACACAGTGGCTGCAACAAGGGGCTGAAGCATAACGACGATTGTGAGGATGGCGAAGGCCCAGGTGGTATTTTGTTCTGTTGTTCATGGGGTCGCTATGAGTCGGAACCAGCACAACAGCATCTAACAACAACACTATAGTAACACTGAGCTGATGTATGAAATTTTGTTCTGTAGCTCTAAAAAAACACCCCTCTCCTTCCCAAAGGCACACAGAAACAAACACACACACACAAATTAAGGAACAACAAAAAAATTCAGAGAAAAAAAAACATCTTTTCCTCGCTACTCCAAATCAGGCACAAATGACAAGTATTTTCTCTTTATCCTTTAAATGCTCCAGGAACGAATGCTACCAAGAAGGCTGCGAAATTGAAAGGTCTGAATGATAGTGTTTAAAATGATCAAAATATACAATGTAAGAGACTGCAACTCAGTTGGATGACATTCCCTATTTCCACTTTACAACTCTTGTCACTTTAGGATGTGGCAAAAATTCTTTGCTACAATTACAGTAAATATCAAAAGAGCACTTCCCTTTTATGAAGTTGAAACATTTCCCATGTATCTTTATAGTAATAAGAAGATAGACAATAATATCCAATCTCAATTAACCAGCTGCCCACTATTGGGAGAAAGATTATTAAGTGAACAGAAAAGTAACAACTTTAGGATCATGATTTTACTCATGGTACACAAACCCCCCCTCATCACTCCAAAAGTAAAACTAAGTACTAGCATATAGGGATAAAAACAAACCCCAGGACACTAATCAATCAAAACATTAAACATAAGCTAAATCATCTACATTTAATAAATGTATCTTTTACCCACAAGGTAGCTAACTTACTTGCAAGAGTTGTTTACATTTTTTATACTTTTCTGTTTTTTCAGCAATTTCTTTGGTCATTTCACAGACTTGCCCCTTTGTTACCATGTCAGACTCGGTCTCAGCTACAAACAAGGTAGAAAATACGATTGTTAAAAAGTATTTTGCTTCTGTTTGGGGTGATGTAAAACTTTTGGAAATGGATAGTGGTGACAGTAGCACAACATGGTGAATGTAATTAATGTCACTGAATTGTACACACCAAAATGGTTAAAAGAATAAACTTTTCATTACATATATTTTAGCACAATACTTAACTTCATCATTGTCAAATCTTTGATTATACAAAGGTTAAAAAAATTAGGACAAGTGAAAAACCTAGAGCTAATTCAAATTTTCATGTTATTCATTTATTCACTGTCTCTCATCTGTTCTATAATAAACAAAAAACCTGATTAATAAAAATTTAACTTATCCTTCAACAGATAAACTAACGAAATACCCTACTGTTCCAGCGTAGACAAGAAAAAAGAGAAAGATGAGTACAAGAAACAAGGGATTTACAAGTTTTTTCCCCCACAGAATTGTTCAATAAAATATCACACTAAAATCCTTTAAAATTCCATAAATTTAATGGACTATTACATAAAAATTCAACTCTCAACTTTTTCCTATCTAGTCCAAATGAGTACTTAAAATCACCAGCTAATTTAACACTTGTAAATATTCTCAGAAAGGTAATACAAGTTCATACATATTTTGTGTATTCACCACATATATGACTTTATCTTACTTCTATACCTTAGTTTTCCTCTTACCTCAATTATCTCACCTATAATGTAAGGATTTTTGTAAACTTTCTGGAACAAGGCAGTATAGATAAATATAAATACTTTTTAAGGCAGAACACCCTACACAAAAAGTCTAAAAGATTTTACCTGCGGAAGCAGTAGTAGCTGGGTCTGTGTTTATTGAGGCATCATTCACTTTCTGCTGACTCCCAATTTTCTTTGTGAGGACACTATTATTATTGGCCTATTCAAAATGTTAACAATAAATTGTTAAATGAGTCACTGAATGACTTACTTCTTTCCTTCAGTGTAAATAATCATAAAAAGATCCTGAAGAATCCACAAAGGTGCTACTGTCCAAAAAGCTAGCAAAAACTAAAACGACATACATTACCTTACTAACCTAAATATTATAAATGAGAAATGTTCTATTTCTCTCTTATTTGTGAAAACAAAACAAGTCATTCACATAAATCTCACTGATGAACCCCTCACAAGTTTTCTACTACAGTCATAATATGCTTAAAAGGCCCAAAATCTTTACATGTGGGCCAAACTTAAAATACAATGTTTCCTCACAAAAGGATTCTTACTTTACTGCATGCATTTCTTGCTTCTTTCGTAGTCTCCTTTCAGATTTAGGGCGAAAAAAAAAAAAAAGGACTGGGAAAATATGGTTTGCATCATATAATACACAAATAAAACTGTGTACAGGGAAAATTTTGTTTGCAAAGAAATTGTATCTCCTTCAACTTCATGTTTTAAATGTTTCTTCTCCACTTCCAGGACTCCACTACACAGCCAGCTTTGTATTTAAGTACCAGAACTTAAAGGTCCACATTAAAACACGCACATCAAAACAAAAGTATTTTCTTTTGCTTTATTACAAATATATCTGCTCACTCTGAAATAGAATACAAAAAAAATAGCTAACGTTCTATAACTCTTCCTAATCTAGTGGATTTGAATAAGATGGAGGAACTCACTAATGAGAACTGAGAAACCATCTAAGATCCTAGGGATGATGACTAGGATAATTAATGGTGAACCCCACTGAGAACAGGCTTCATTGTCACAGGAGGATTCAATAATATGTATTGAGTTTTTAAGTGATAAAGACATGTACCAAGAACTTAAAGGAAAACGGTCTGGAAATAGGGGCTCGGGCTCCTATTTTTTCCTGCTGCTGTCTTGCTTCATTGTCGGTTTCCAGCAAACAAAAGTTACAGATTTTATTTTAAAAATTATCATTATAGTATTAGGCCAAAGACTTGAAATCAAGTAGAGATAAATTATATCCAAAAGGCTGACATTTAGAATATTACAAATCTGGTTTGCAAACAAAAATATTGATAAACAGAATATTTTACTATATATAAATTCAACAATACTTACTGATTGTTCTGAAAGTTTATTTATTTGTTTCTGGAGCCTCTGACATTCTTTGAATTTTTCCTTATAATGGTCTGCCGCCATCTGAAGACGGAGTTTTAGATCTTCAACCTCTCTTCTCAGCTCATGTTCCAGTGTATCAGTCTTTTCCTAAAAGAGAAAAAAAAACACTTCCTCTGAGAAAAAGGTAAAAATCTGTTACCTTAATGTAGTAGTGAATCCCAGCTTCATTTTACTTTTTTCTTTCTGGCTTTTAATTTTTATTTGTGTTGGAGTTTTGGCTACAGAGCTACATTAGCCCTCCTAATAAATCCAAATGTATATTCTTAGGACTAAAATTTAGTTTTAAAAAAAAAAAACTTGAGAAAAATAATCCACTTCCTGAGCAAAAAGTATTAATCTCTTAAATAACCATAATAATGTTTTATGCAGCTAGTAAGTAAGAAACTCCAAAATAAGCAATATATGTGACATCGAAAAGTATAATTAACAATAATAGAGCAGTTTTTACTAATCATTAAGAACTTGCTACTAAAATTCTTTCAAAACACATTATTAACTTCAACCTAAGACTAAGCAATGACTAAACAAAAATCAATGGAACTGTAAAATTCTATGATCAGGAATCTGTCCTGACTTACTAGACATGACTTACTCTCTTTCTTAAGCTTATAGTATCTTTCTCTTGTGATCAAGATGGAAATTCAAAATTAATCTGCTTTACCTGATCTTTTTTCACAGAATTCAGTTTAAGTTCTGCCACTGCATCTGCTAACTGCTTTTTTACTTTCTCATTTTCCAAACGTGTAGTATGTAGATCCGCCATCGTCTTATCTCGTACATTTACAGCATCACTAAGCTCTTTAGCCAGAAAGACAACTTCTTGCCGAGTTGCCTGAACTTGTTCCTCTGCCTTACGAAGTTGCTCCTTTAAAACAAATGTATCTTCCTGAGGAAAAACAGATAAATACATTTGTAATTAAACCATTCAAGTATGAAACAAACTATTTTTACTCAGATAATTCAAGAGACCCAAAAGTTTAAATTAAATATTGCTTTTCTATTCATGATTTACATGAAGTCATGAATCTTTGTTTTAGATTCCTCATATAACATAACAACCCAATGCATACCAAAAAAAAAGAAAAAACCAAACCCACTGCCATTGAGTTGATTCCAACTCACAGCGGCCCTATAGGACAGAACAGAACTGCCCCACAGGCTTTCCAAGAAGCAGCTAGTGGATTTGAATTGACAACCTTTTGGTTAGCAGCTGAGCTCTTACCCACTGTGCCACCAGGGCTCCACCCAATGCTTTACTGTTTATTTAGTAGATTAATTAAATTTTTACTTATTAAAATTTTTTGCTTTACTTATTGCTGAAACTATTGGTGCATATGGCTAGATAGAGTACATGAATAAAATACAGTGATGTTTACAGTGGGAAATGGAATATATAAATATGGAATGGAGGAAGGTAAGGAAGAACACTAAGGTAATGGATTTAAATTGGAGACATAAATATAAATTAAAATTTTTAAAAAGTCCACTGAAAGCGTAGAGAAGCAATGACTCCCCGCTAGAAGCCATAAGATCCAGTTCTTGGTTTTGAAATACTATTCCCCACCAGAAGAGCCAGGGCTCCTTGAAGAAATGACTAATTCCAGGCCTTGGGCAGAATCTGACCCTGGAACAGTTTGCCAGAAAGCAAGGAAGTAGTCAAAGCGTAACGGGGACACATCAACAGGACACCGAAGGTGGCTTTAAAGTGTTCCCCTCACTAAATCTGGGACAATTTAGGTATGAAAAAAAAATGATGATGATAATAAATAATACACTGAATAACAACAAAAGGAATCCATAAGTCCACAGTGATATTAAAAAAGGAGGTATACATCAACAAGAAACCTCCTCACTACAGAAGAATACTTACTAATAAATACAAAAAGAATGACAGAATTTTAGAAATCACCATTTTGCAACCATTATTGTTTAATAGTTGGTGCAGATGAGGATCATCAAGAGACAATAAAACCACTGGGTAAAAGACTGTCTGAGAATAGGATGTTCACATGATCTCAAACTATTATCCCACAAAGGTAAAGGTATATAGAAATGGGCAGACATAACTTTAAACAAGTGACCAAACTTAACATCATCAAGAATGGACAAACTGGTATTATGTGACTACAATGGGATGTACAAAGCATCTCTTAAGAAAGTGAAGAGATAACATACAGAATGGGAGAAAATATTTGATAACCATATATCTGATAAAGGTTTAATATCCAGAATATATAAAGAACACCTACAACTCAACAACAAAAAGCAGACAACCCTATCAAAAAATGAGCAAGGGACTTGAATAGACATTTCTCCAAAGAAGATAACAAATGGCCAATAAGCACATGAAAAGATGCCCAATGTCATTAATAATGAGGGAAATAAAAATCAAAACAATAAGATAATCATTTTCACTCCTACTGTTGTTTTTGTGTGCCATCAAGCCAACTCATAGCAACACAAATTGAAAATAACATGTTAGAGAGGACATGGAGAAACTGGAACACTCATACATTGCTCGTGGGAATGTAAAAAAGTGCAACCACTGTGGAAAAGTTTGGTGGTTCCTCAAAAAGCTAAACATGGTATTACCATACGACCCAGCAATTTCACTCCTAGGTATATACCCAAAAGACTTGAAAGCAGGGACTCAAACAAATACTTGTACACCAATGTTCCCTGCAGCATTATTCACAATAGCCAATAGACAGAAGCAACACAAGTGCCCATCAACAGATGAATGGATAAACAAAATGTGATACACATATAATGGAATATTATTCAGCCATAAAGATAAATTAAGTTCTGATACATGCTACGACATGGATGAATCTTGAAAACAGTATGCTAAGTTAAATAAGGCAGACACAACAGGACAACTATCCCAATTATATGAAATATCTAGAATATGCAAATGCATAGAGACAAAAGTTTATTAGTGGTTTACCAGGGGGTAGGAGGAGAGGGGAATGCAAAATTATTGCTTAAGGAGTTGTGAGTTTCTGTTCTTAGTCGTCTAGTGTTGCCATAACAGAAATACCACAAGTGGATGGTTTTAATGAAGAGAAGTTTATTTCCTTACAGTAAAGTAGGCTAAAAGTCCAAATTCAGGGTGTCAGCTCCAGAGGAAGGCTTTCTCTCTCTCGGCCTTCTCATCAGTGTTCCCCCAGACTAGGAGCTTCTCGGCCCAGGGACCTCCATCCAAAGGACACGCTCTGCTCCCGGCACTGCTTTCTTGATGGTATGAGGTCCCCCTGTCTCACTGCTCACTTTTGTCTTTTATATCTCAAGAGATTGCCTCAGGACACAATCCAGTCTTGAAGATCAGGCCCTGCCTTACTAACACAACTGCCACCCCTCCTCCCTCATTAACATCACAGAGGCAGGTTTACAACATACAGGAAAATCACACAGTACCAGGAATCATGGCCTAGCCAAACTGATACACACATTTTTTGGGGGACATAATTCAAACCATGACAGTTTGTTTGGGGTGATGAAAAACTTTTAGAAATAGTGGCAATGGTTATACAGTATGGTGAATATAACTAATGTCACTGAACTGTACATCTAAAAATGGTTAAAATGGCAAATATTTTGTTACATATGTTTCACCACAATAAATTTTGTTTTTAATCACCTAGGTCTTTTCTTGCCAAATGTGTTTGACCTGAATCTAATCATTACGAAACAACAAATTCAGATTATAGAACATTCACTCAGATAACTAGCCAAATTCTTAAAAAATACCAATGTCATAAAAGACCAAAAAAAAAGCGTAGGGACACTATTCTAGATTAAAGCAGACTAAAAGCAAACAACAATCAAATAAATGTGTTATCTTTGATTATCATTCGATCAAACAACTTAAAAGATTATACAATAACATATTTGGGACTATTTTAATGTCAACTATTTACAAGAATGAATAATATATCAATGTTAAATTTCTTAGGTATGATAACCGTATTGTGGTTATACAGAAGAATGTACTTATTCACAAGAGATACATGCTTATATATTTAGAGTGAAATGTCATAATGACTGCAACTGAATTTCAAATGGATCAACCAAAAAAAAAAAAAAAAGTATATAAATGGGGGATATAAAACAAAGATGGCAAAATACTTTAGGGTATATGGAAATTCATTGTTCTGTTCTAATTTTTCTGCAGGTTTGAAATTTTTCAAAAGAAAAAGTTGGGAAAATTGTAAAAATAATCATATCGTATACATTTAACAGAGACACGTTTTACAATCTTCAAATACACTTTACAATAGTACTTACCTTATTTGAAGTGGTAAGCAAAAAAGCCCTGTGAAGATTTTCCTTTTCAGCCAAACAGAACTGCAGTCTACCAATCTCTTCTTTGAAATGAGTAATCATGCTTTCTTTGTTCCCATCTAAATTCTTTAAAGTCTGGACCTCTGACACAAGCTTGGTATTTTCTATTTCTGTGTTCTTCAAATGTACCTGTAATAGTGTTTGAAAATGTCATTTTTCTAATTCCATAACCTAATTACATGAAGTTTAAAATGACACTGTATATCTCTAACCAAACAATGACCAAGTAAAGGGAAAACACATTCGAGTAGGAGTCGGGAGACCCAAGTTCTGTCAAATGACTGGGTAAGTATGTGAGAGCAGAACTTGACTTTTTATTTTTCACGGAGATTAATTCTAAGTTCTAACAATATTATCTGATTTCTAAATTCTTTTCATTTGATTTAATGATTTTAGTTTCTCTAAAAATGAAAATGAATTTGGTTGTCCTTTATGGGATACATTATGTTAAGAAAACTTTCAAGACCCAGAAAAATAAGGCAGTCTGATCAAGTTCCAGCTCTTAATATTGTGCTTTGTTTAAGAGTAGTAGAGAGAAGCAAATTACATACTTCTTCCATTATGCTTTAAAAAATGTATGAAACGCTGAATGACTAGTTCTTATTCACAAGGGTACAATATAATTCCTAATTCTCTGAAGGAGCCCTGGTGGCACAGTGGTTAAAGGCACTCGGCTGCGAACCAAAAGGGTCAGCGGGTTCGAACCCACTAGCTGCTCTGCAGAAGAAAGATGTGGCAGTCTGCTTCTGTTAAGATTTACAGCCTTGGAAACCCCATGGGGCAGTTCTGCTCTGTCCTATAGGGTCACTATGAGTGGGAATCACCTCGACAGCAGTGGTTTTTTTGGTTTAATTCTCTGAAGGTGTGAGCATAACTTTTAAAACACTACCTAATTCTCATAATAATCAGCTTTGAAAGTGTTTTGACAATCCCTCTAAAATCTTACTATCTTGTAGAGGCTATAGCAGAGAAATGAGAAATATCTCTCTGGTTATTCGTGTGAACAATTTATAACGGAAAGTAGGTTTCTGAGGTAAAAGAATAGTAGAATGTCTTTTCACACTGGATAAATGGAATCTCATTGCCAAAACAAAACAAAAATCCTCAGGGAAGAGCTTTATTTCCAATTTTCAGGTATACAACACATATACATAATGAAATGCTGTTCAGAACACCAGGGGATGGGGGTATGCAAATGGAAAATTCAATGTCACTTTGATCCCAACTGCTAATGCCTATAGAGAACTGGAGATATTAACCCACTATAAAAGAACAAATCCCCAAGACACTCTCATTCTTTGCTTTCCTTCCCCCTGCTAAGACTCTGGCAAAGGATTCATCATCATTCAGGTGTACAACAGAGAAATAGAAAAAGCCTTTGCAGAAAGTGAGAAAAAATAAAGAATAATTTAAGGAATAATTAATTTCAAGAGTGAAGGAAAAATAAATGCAGGACATGCCTAAAATATGCTTGCCAACCCTCTGCAAACACCAGAAGTCCTATTCTCAGGATAGAAGAAAAGGCAGGGTGGAAAGAAGGCAGCTTCAGGAATACGTTTTCCTTTTCCCAGACAAAGCCATCCTAGTTATCATTACACCTCTCCAGCATCATTGGTTTACTTAGGACCTTCCTAAGCCCTTTCCAATACTAAATAGAGAATCTTACAAATTAATTTGACTTACTGTTGAATTTATGTTTAAAGACATAGACATTCTATTTACCTTATTATCTCCCACTGTGACTAACAGAAAAAACAACATAGAAAGTACTTGATTATCCACAGAGAAATACTGGCCAATCTTGATTCTGACAGTACTAAAACAGAGTTTTACCAAAATTCACAGTAATATTAAATAAATCATTACAGATGCCATATTTTCCTCAGTTAAAAAGCTTTACCCCAAAAAAACAAACCCACCGCCATCAAGTCAGTTCTGACTCATAGCTACCCCATAGGGTTTCCAAGGCTGTAAATCTCTGCAGAAGCAGACTGCCACATCCTTCTCCCACGGAGCCACCAGTGGTTTCCAACCGCCAACTTTTCAGTTAGCAGTCGATCACTTTAACCCCTGTGTCACCAGGGCTCCTTAAAAAGCTTTAAAACTTAAAAAAAAAAAAAAAAAGATAATTGCATTTGAAGGTATTTTGCAAAAAGTACTCTGTAAAATGTTAATCCAATTGCATCAATTCTTCCTCTACACATTTGTATTATTTTCCTTTTTCCATAAAAACCCGGCCAAAACCAAACAACATTTTGGTACTTTTTCTTAATCAAATCATAAAATCATCCACCAGTGAAATCTTCACCGTCTTTCCTTCTGTTTTGGGAACAATTTTTTAAATTAAAAACAACCTCTGAAGATGAATTGTTCATGACATACAGAACATCCAAACCCATGTTCTGCTCGGAGGTGCATGGTAGATTCAATAATTTTTAAAATTTTTATCTCAAGAACAAACAAATCAACACCAAATAATAAAAGAAAAACCCACTGATAACATAACAGACCATAATCTAATTTCTTACTGCAAATTTCCATAACTCTCAAGTAGTGCAGTGTGATGAATTACTTACTACGGCCTTTCTCACATGGTCTTGTAACTCCCACCCAGGTGATTGGGCAGGACTTACAAATAAGATAAAGATAACTATGGTCCACCAAGGGGACTGGCCAGTTTTGCCTTAAAAGAGAGCCAATTCCAGAAAAGAGAGAAGAGCCCACCATCACCAAGCCAGGAGAGACCGGCAGGAAGAGACCTGAAGGAGATGGCACAGTGGGCTTCCTAGCCCATGGATGAGAAAGTTGAATGCCTTTGGGCAGAGACTGAGGGCCAGGGAGAAGCCTACGCCTAACCCACAAATTTGGGACTTGCCAACCTCCACAATAACATGAGCCATTTATACAGTTCATGAGTTCTATGAGATGTTGCAGAGAATTAGGGAATCCAAAGACCGGAGGTGGGTGGGGGGAATAGTTGATGTTAGAGATGATGGAGTGGTACAGCAGCTTGGAAAAGTTGGACATTTTTAAACTCTACCTCATAGGAACCAGCTCTGTGCTGATCCTTTTAAAAGAAATTATTTAAGTAGTGAATATGGAAGAGTTTTATGTTTTTATCTTTAATCAAACATATAACACATAAATGAGTAAAGAAGCCCTGGTGACACAGTGGTTAAAGCAATCAACTGCTAACCGAAAGGTCGGCAGTTCGAAATCACCAGCAACTCCACGGGAGAAAGATGCACAGTCTGCTTCTGTAGACATTTACAGCCTTAGAAACCCTATGGGGTTGCTACGAGTTGGAATCAAATTGACGGCAGTGGGTCTGAGTTTGATTATATAAATGAGTGTTGTCCTTTTCTAATCAGGAGATTTAACCTATCCAAATCATATTGACTTAGAAAGTTCTTGAAATTCCTGATTTGGAACTGCCCTCCGGAAGCTTATGAGCCACTTAAGAAAATGTCTCAATTTGCAGCCACAATATTATTAACAATTAAGCTAACCATCACTATTTCCAGAATTGGGAAGAGTGAGGAAGGGGAAGGGGAGGGAAGCGGGAGTAGAGGAGAGGGAAAGAAAGAACAAACTTCAAAAAGGTGAAGATGTATTAGTAGTGGGGATTTTTTTTTTAATCACAATCTCTGAAGTTATTCCCAAAGTCAAGTTCTAAAATGTGCCAATCATCACTGAAATAAGTTAATACTTTCTCCTAAGGTATATATGTTCTTAAAAGATAAAAATAATTGGTTACATAAATCCTGATAAATGGGTATCTTGTTATCATTAAATCTGATTTATTATACAGTATCTTCTAATTATCTAAAACGTCAGTAAATTAATTCCCTACGAACTAACTTTTAGGGATAGTATACATGATGTGGTGTTTTAAACTATGTCCACAAATGTTTTGATACTCCTTACTTCAAGAAGTGGAGCCTAATTCCCCTCTCCTTGTGTGTAGGAAGGACTTAATGACTTGCTTCTAACAAATAAAATAAAGTGGAAGTGTCTGTGTGCTACTTAGGAAACTAGGATATAAAAAGCACTGTGACTTCCTCCTCGCTCTGTCTTGGATCACTTGCTCTGTAGGGAAGTTAGCTGCAATGGTGCAAGGACACTTATGCAGCCTATGAAGAAGCCACGTGGTAAGGAACCAAGGGGCCTCCTGCCAAAAGCCACATGAGGGAGCCATCTTGAAAGCAGATCCTTCAGACCCAACCAAGCCTTCGGTTGATTGCAGCCCCTGCCAACATCCTGACTGCAACCACATGAGAGATCCAGAGCCAGAACTACTCATCTAAGCTCCCAAATTCCTGTCCCACAGTCACAAAGTTTTGGGGTAATGTGTTACACAGCAAATAAACAACTAATAGAACTGGAAAGAGTAAATTACCTTATAAAGTTCCTTCTCATCCTTTTCTGTCTTTAACTGACTTTCAAGTTGTTCTCTTTCATGTTGTACCTTCCTGAGCTTGTCTTTTAAGCTAAGTAAAGATAAAGTAACGTTAATTTAAAAAAAAAAATTTGTAAAACATTTTTTAAAGTTATTTTTTAAAAGCATCAGAAATACCTGTCTAGTTCTGTTTCTTTTTCAATTGCTTTATGTGTCACTGACACAATATCTTCTTCAAGTTGGAGAGCTTTGGATGTAGCATCACTGTACCTCTTCTTCAACTCTTCATTTTCCATTTTTAAACTTTTTGATACTTCAATAAGACCCTTAGAAACAACAACAACGTGTTTTGAGAAACAGAAACATAAAAACAGCAGTTACTTTCCCAAATTTGCATATCTTTAAGAAATCTATGTATTCTTAAATTTTTTTTAATTTTCAAATAATATTTTATTGTGTTTTCAGTGAACGTCTACACAACAAATTGGGTTCCCGTTTAACAATTTTCTATACATCTTGTTCAGTGACATTGGTTACATTTTTCACAATGTGTCAACATTCTCATTACTTCTGTTCTGGCAGATCTGTTTCTATTAATCTAGTTCCTTGCCCTCCCCTCCCCCCCCCCAGTCTTTGCTTTAGGGTAAATGTTGACTGTTTTGGTCTCTTTTTTTTTTCTTTTTTTAAAGGCGCACAGTACTTAAAGTGATACTGTGTTATTTGATAAGCCAATCTGTTATTTAGCTGAAATGTGACCTCTGGGTGTAGTTTCAGTTCAGAGTTTAAAGGGTATCTCAGGGCAACAGTCTCAGGGGTTCCTCTAGTCTCAACTGGTCCAGTAAATCTGGACTTCTTAAGAATTTGAGTATTGTTCTACATTTTTCTCCCATTCTATTAGGGTCCATCTATTGTATCCCTGATCAGAATGGTTGGTAATGGTAGCCAGGTACCATCTAGTTCTGGTCTTAGGCTAGATGAGGCTGTGGTTCGTGTAGGCTATTAGTCCTGTAGACTAGCTTCTTCTTTGAGTCCTTGAGTACCTTTTTTATCTTTTGCTCCAGACAAACAGAGACTAATTTATATCTTAGATGGCTGTTTGCAAGCTTTTAAGACCCCAAGTGCTACTCACCAAACTAGGATATAGAACGTAATCTTTATAAGCTATATTATTCCAACTGATTGAGTTGTCCCACAAGACTATGGTCTTAAGCTTTCAAATTCAGAAAACCAATCTTGCAAGGTATTTGTCTAAGAAGTTTCCATAGCTGTGAACCTATAAGCTTTATTATATATATGAATATATATGCATCACACACATACACATATATACATATGCCTATAGATACACCTATATAGGCACATGTATATACACATGTACCTCCCTATACATATATATGCATACTTATCTACCTATGGAACCACACACGTATTTTTTTTGGTTGTTATTGCTGTTGTTGTAAAATTGTATGTTATATACAGCATTTATCAAAAAATCCCTTATTCTTGTGTACTTCCTTCTATGAAAATTTTTTTTATTTTTTTAATTGTATTTTAGATGAAGGTTTACAGAATAGTTTCTCATTAAACAGTACACATATTGTTTTATGACAATGGTTAACAACCCCACGACATGTCAATACTGTCCCTTCTCAACCTTGGGTTCCCTACTACCAGCTTTCCTGTCCCCTCCTGCTTTATAGTCCTTGTCCCTGGACTGTTGTGCCCCATTAGTCTTCTTTTGTTTTATGGGGCTGTCTAATCTTTGGCTGAACAGTAAACCTCGGGAGTGACTTCATTACTGAGCTAAAAGGGCGTCCCAGGGCCACACTCTCGGGGTTTCTCCAGTCTCTGTCAGGCCAGTTAAGTCTGGTCTTTTTTTGTGAGTCAGAATTTTGTTCTACATTTTTCTCCAGCTCTATCCGGGACCCTCTGTTGTGATCCCTGTCAGAGCAGTCAGTGGTGGTAGCCAGGCACCATCTAGTTGTTGTATTCTTAATTTTTTAATCCCACATTTGTCCCCTCTAACATTTATAAGCTAAGACTACAAACTAAACCTGAAATTATGAATATGTATTCAGCTTTTCATATGCTAAATTAATTATATATTTATTTCCAGACATTTCATACACCCTGTTAATTTCCATAACTTCTCCACCAGAGGGCAGGCAACAAAAGTGAGGAAAAAATATAAATTAGTAGATTTTGTTTTTCACATACAGCTTTTCAATGGTACCCTAATGACAAATCAGGTTTCACATTACACTATCAAGGTTAGCTACTGCTTCTACTAGCATAGATCACTAAGGGTCACTAATAATTATACCATGGTACACAATTAAGATAAACGCCTAAAGCAATGTTCCTGCCAGTGTGACTCACAGGACTCAGATATGCAAAAATAGTGAAAAAAATATAAAAGATGTAGTATGCATAAACGAAACATTTCTATTTAAAATAAAATAAACATTCTACTTTAAACAGGTCATTTTAAAAGTTTAAGAAATTTTTATCACGTCAATTAAGGAACTCATGAGAACTTGATGGAGTTCCTCCTTGAGCCTGTTTTACAATCTGTAAAATTGAGACAATAAGGCCTTTTTTGCCTAGTTCATAAAATTATGAGACTCAAATGTAACAATGAATACAGAATTACCTTGTTACAAAAAGCTATATATTAAAAGAATTGTTAAACTACATTTGTTAAAAAATAATTTTCAAATTTCCCATTTAAAAAGTATCACCTACCCACCAAACAACAAAAACTAAAGAAAATTACCACTCTGCCAATTTAAATGTATCCAACATTGTACAGTATTCATAAAGTCACTTTGATGTGCAAAAAGTTGACTCAGTCAAATTTTTTACTTACGGTGGAATTTCATCTTAAGAATCTTGCTAGGATATGAAAATTTCTATGCTGCACTTACATTCCATTAAAAACCTATCACAACAGCAGTAAGATACACTCAATTGGTTTTACTTTTGCTCAAAGCAAATGTTTAGCCATACTGAATTTGCAAACACTAACCAAAGACTGTTATAGAAAACTAAACGCTTAGCTGGATCCAGTGACACGATGCCTAAGAAACTAAATAATATTTATTCCTTTTACTAGAATTTTTATCAATATACAATGATTCTTATAAAATCTGACACATCTTTCGTATTTGTCTTATTGATTTATAAAGACAGTCAGAGAGATTTGTAAATTGTTTTTTTATATTTTTTACTTTTAGTTTAACCAAACGCTGTCTTGTTACTGCAAACAGGCTACAAAATTAATTCAAATTTTTCTCCCTAAGACAAACACTAGTTTGCCTAGAGTCAAAGACTACATAGTTTCTGATCCTGTAATTAATGCAGTTCAATGATAGGTAAAGAACATTCCAAGAGATGTATAGGGGTGGAAAAAACTACAGAAAATTCATAAGCAACTGAATGCAAAACATGAAGTAACTGCTGTATCTACAGGTCAGTTAACTACACAGTGAGTCATAAAATAACTGACTATGAACTTGCAAGTCTTAGAATCTTTTTTGGATGCACTGAAGTGACCCATAAAGGCACCTGAGGGCCACTCTGCATGCAAGCCTATTTGCAGAAGGCAAAAAAGTGCTAAAGCAGGAATTATTCTTCAGGCTCTGGTTCTCATCTCTGAAGTAAGCATAAGCATCTTCAATGTGGCTAAGCCTTCCTTAGTATCAAAACAGCATCAATGCCTTGAAGTGAACATACAAACAACTTAGGATCATGATTTTTTTTTTAAAGGAATAACTTTAAAAAACTAAAATCTACAACACAATCTTTGAAAGACACTTGAAATTTCTGATAAATATCATTTGGTAGCCATCTGCAAATAATACCAAATTCTAATACTGAAACAGAGAAAAACTTAAATAATTGTATATCAAGATAAAAACAATCACAAAAACTGGGGCAAACAGAGAGGAAGAGATCTGGGCATTTCAGATTCATGCAGAGGACGTCTCTCCCTCATCCTGAGTTGAAAAAAATCACTGCTACAATGAGCCACTATTACCAATTCTCACGTCATAACCCTCAGATGAGAATGTGCAGATAGAAAGATTGCAAACCACGCATCAATGTAGCTAAACAGGCACTATAAATATTAAAAATGGCAACATATTTATTCCCATGCTTAAAAAAAAAATCTGATTATAAATGAATACATTTGAAGAAATCAGATACACTTTCACTGAATAATTACCTAGAAAAAAACTATGGTATTCTGGATTCATAAGGTATATAGGGTAAATTTTACTCAATTAGTACCTAAATACTCTCCCTAGCAGATGACTGGCTACAAGAATTATGTTACTTATGGAAACTGCTAGTCAGATTTTAAAATAAATCTTACTCATCTGATTTAATCTGGCTTTCCTCAAACACCCTGCTTCTTGAAATCAACTAAAATACTGAGGTAACATATAAATGCATCTTCTCTGGTTTCTAGAACTCTAGGACACAAAAATGTAACTGATAACAATACACGGTAATAAACTGTCTTTGTGACATTAAAATAGTGAGCTAAATAGCAAACTAAATAAAAATAACTAGATAATTATTTGTTTCATTAACATTGTTGTTGTTGTTGTTGTTGTTAGGTGGCGTCAAGTCAGCTCCAACTCATAGTGACCCTATGTACAAAAGAAAGAAACACTGCCCAGTCCTGCACCACCCTCACAATCATTGTTATGCTTGAACCCATTGTTGCAGCCACTGTGTCAATCCATCTCACTGAGGGTTTTCCTCTTTTTCGCTGACCCTCTACTTTACCAAGCATGATGCCCTTCTCCAGGGACTGATCCCTCCTGATAACATGTCCAAACTGTGTGAGACACAGTCTTGCCGTTTGGGCTTCTAAGGAGCATTCTGTCTGTACTTCTTCCAAGACAGATTTGTTCAGTCTTTTGGCAGTCCATGGTATATTCAATATTCTTTGCCAACACCATAATTCAAAGGCACCAATTCTTCTTTGGTCTTCCTTATTCATTGTCCAGCTTTTGCATGCATATGAGGCAACTGAAAACCACATGGCTTGGGTAAGATGCACCTTAGGTCTTCAGTGTGACATCTTAGCTTTTCAACACTTTAAAGAGGTCTTTTGCAGGAGATTTGCTCAATGCAATGCATCCTTTGAATTCTTGACTGCTGCTTCCATGGGTGCTGATTGTGGAGCCAAGTAAAATGAAATCCTTGACAACTTCAATATTTTCTCCATTTACCATGATGTTGCTTACGGGTCCAGTTGTGAGGATTTTTGTTTTCTTTATGTTGAGATGTAATCCATACTGAAGGCTGTAGT